AAAATAGTCACAGTTAGTCATAACAAATATGTAAGCATCCTTAGTGTAGATTCAATTTAGGGATAAGTCGGGACCACTTATGCATTTAAGCATTGCAATACTAAACTGATTTTTGCTTTTTTCCTAGCTACAGTGCTCAGGTGAGTAATGTGGCCCCTGGGCCTCTTGTTTCTAGATCTTATTCCAACATTGCTCAATCAATCATTCAATCAATGAATAAAGAATAAAAAATAAATAAATAATACATAAACACTTGGAATAATTAAGCCGCATGAATTTGATCCTTGCCAATTCAAATCTCACCGTCGCCACGTGTATTTTTAACCACCATTGCTTAATGACTATCGTAGATACATGAACATTTATAAACTGAAATTTTAACGTCACAAAACGCATTGACTTCCTTTTTGATGTTAATACTGAAAATACTGACTAAGTGGCAAATTCAGGAAGGGGGGGGGGGGGGCTCTTAACTATATGGAATAGTAAACATATATATAGTTACAGTGATGAAATTTTTTTTCTCTCTCTTACAATAGACTTTTACTATATTTGTAAAGAAGAAAACCTTATACTCCTTTTTTTGTATTACAATTTAAACAAGAGGCCCATGGGCCACAACGCTCACCTGAGTCAATATGGCCCTGCTGTTCTACATCAGCAGATTTCTCCTATATATTCATATATAAAGCTTTGATCGCCTGTTCTAGGCATACCCTACCCCCAGGTGCCATGTTTTGAATGAAATTGAATATAAACCTTCTGAGGATGCTTCTATATTCATATAACTAATCATGGTTTTGCTGTTCTTTAAAACGGAATTTTAAAGATGTCTAACACCCTACCCGGGGAGGGGGGGGGGGGGGGGGGGGTTGAACAAACTTGAATGTACACTACCTGAGGATGATTCCATATCAATATGACTAATTGTGGCTTTGTTGTTCTTGAGAAAAAGATTTTTTTCTATATATTCCTATATAAAACTTTGATCCCTCATTGTGGCCCCACCCTACCCCCAGGGGTCATGATTTGAACAAACTTGAAACTACACTACTTGATAATGATTCCATATCAATATGACTAATTGTGGCTTTGTTGTTCTTGAGAAGAAGATTTTTAAAGATTTTCCCTATATATTCCTATATAAAAGTTTGATCCCTCATTGTGGCCCCACCCTACCCCCAGGGGTCATGATTTGAACAAACTTACATCGACACTACCTGAGGATGATTCCATATCAATATGACTAATTGTGGCTTTGTTGTTCTTGAGAAGAAGATTTTTAAAGAAATTTCCTATATATTCCTATGTAAAACTTTGATCCCCCATTGTGGCCCCACCCTACCCCCGGGGGTCATGATTTGAACAAACTTGAATCTACACTACCTGAGGATGATTCCATATCAATATGACTAATTGTGGCTTTGTTGTTCTTGAGAAGAAGATTTTTAAAGAAATTTCCTATATATTCCTATGTAAAAATTTGATCCCCCATTGTGGCCCCACCCTACCCCCAGGGGTCATGATTTGAACAAACTTGAATCTACACTACCTGAGGATGATTCCATATCAATATGACTAATTGTGGCTTTGTTGTTCTTGAGAAGAAGATTTTTAAAGATTTTTCCCTATGTATTCTTTTGTAAAACTTTGATCCCCCATTGTGGCCCCAATCTACCCCTGGGGGGTCATGATTTGAACAAACTTGAATTTACACTATGTAATGAAGGTTTCACATAATTTTAAACTTTTCTGGCTCAATGGTTCTTGAGAAGAAGAATTTTAAAAGAAGACACCAAATTTTCACCAATTCTTAATTATCTCCCCTTGGAAGAGGATGTGGCCCTTCATTTGAACAAACTTGAACCCCCTTAACCCAAGGATGCTTTGTGGCAAGTTTGGTTGAAATTGGCCCAGTAGTTCTGGAGAAGAAGTCGAAAATGTGAAAAGTTTACAGACGGACGGACGGACAGACAGATGGACAGACAGACAACTACAGACAAAATGTGATCAGAAAAGCTCTCTTGAGCTTTCAGCTCAAGTGAGCTAAAAAGTAATTTTTTAACCACACTATCAATGTACATTGCTCTGTAGATATTTAATCCATAATACTACAGCTGTATCTATAATTCTCAGAAATACTAGTAGTTGTAACATGTACATGTATTTTTATAAAAACAAAACAAGAAAAAAACATGTTAGATATGAATATTTTGGTAATTATGTATTCAGCAGTTGGTTTTTAAAGCAACCTGGATTATCATCTTTCTATCAATGATTTGTGGTCTTTGATATAATATCAAAATGTTGCAGCGCTGTATCCGTACAGGAATGTTGCCGTATTTAGATTTAATCTTGTAGCATCATACTAAATGAATATACTTCCAACAACATTTATTTTTAAGATTAATTTAATAAATAATCAACAGTTAAGTTAAAAAATAATAATAAATATTGGAGATATTTTTTTCCAGAAAATAATGATACTTTAAACCAGTAAACCCTTACTTTCATAATCTTTTTCCCTTTAAAAAGATAAGTCCTTTCACTTTGGAGTTCCAAATGACAATGAAGTCTGAATGATGAGTAAACGCTGAACGCAAGGTGAATGCAAAGTGAACAAATGGTGAACACTAACGGTGAACGTGAGCGCACGGTGAACAGTGAACGCAAAACTGTGAACAGTGAATGAACGGTGAGCAAACAGAAAAATGGGAAGTAGAACATTTCAGGGACTGTAATTATGAGCCCTCCCTGGACCAAACTTTGATAGATGATGCATCTAGGGATGGACACTACCAGACATGCTTCAAATGCTGAATCTGACCTACATTTTCTAGATGAGTGACAAGGTTAAAGTTTTTGGAGCAGGTCCATTACCAAGTAACTATAAGTCCTACCTGGACCAAACTTTCAAGGATGATGTATCTAGGGATGGACACTACCAGACTTGCTTAGAATGCTAGATCTGACCTACATTTTCCAAATGTGTGACCTGGTTAAAGTTTTTGGAGCAGGTGCACTCCAAAGTAATTATTAGCTCTACTTGGGCCAAACTTGCATGAATGAAGCATCTAGGAATGTGCACTACCCAACCTGCCTCAGATGCTGGATCTGACCTATATTTTAGCCATACTTTAACGAACTTGACATGGATGATGTAGCTAGGGATGGACACTTCAAGACTTGTTTGGGGTGCTGAATTTTACCTATGTTTTCCAGATGAGTGAACAGCGTAATGTTTTTTGGAGTAGCTCTAATAGTATAATTATATGGTCTATTATGATTAAACTTGCATGGATAATGCATCTAAGGATGAACACTTCCAGTCTTGCATCGCATGTTGGAACTGACCTATATTTTCTTGATTAGTGAACAGATTAGAGTTTTTAGAGCAGGTCCATTTCCAATTAACTATAAGTCCTACTGAAGCCAAACTTGGATGGATATTGATCTTGGGATGCACACTAACTAGAAAAAAAATATTATGTGAGATTTGCATTACTTATAGACAACATTATTTGAGGTGAGTTTTATAATATCTGATTACCTGTTTTATCTTCTTCTGAAGAGTCACTAGACCAATTTCAACCAAACTTAGAGTAACAGTATCCTTTGGGTAAAGGGGATACAAGTTTGTTCAAACGAAGGGCCACACCCTCTTCTAAGGAGAGATAATTAAGAAATAGTAAAAATCTTCTCAAGAACCACTGGACCAGAAAAGATGAAACTTAAGTAAAAGCTTTCTTAGGTAGTGTAGAGTCAAGTTTGTTCAATTCATGATCCCCAGGGGTAGGATGGGTCCACTTTTGGGGATCAAAGTTTTACTAAGGAATACTTAGGAAAAATCTTTAAAATTCTTCTTCCTAAGAACAGTAAAATAATGATTTGAAGAGCAGAGGAAATTCTGGTCGATACAATTGAACTACTGACTATCTTTAAAAGTAAATTTCCCTTGATTTTTGTCAGTTGATCGAATTGCTGAACTTAAAAAAGAAACTTAAGAATAGTAAAATACTTTTAGGGATGCCTTTAAATTCTTCTACAATACATTTACATCAGTTACATGTATGACTCACAGTGCCAACATAATTCTAGAGACGTGGCTCTCAATTAAAGACCATATGCAGTTGTATTTATAATTTTATTAAATTTGAAATAATAGAGAGGTTAAGCAGATGACCGTGTACGTCTACGTGTACGTGTAGCTAGGGAAATCCTCTAATTTACTGCGATTTACGTCATCAGTTTTGCATACCACGTAATTCTACAAGTTGTACACAACGTGTAAATTCATAAGTACACGGAGGTAAGAACTTGTAGCCTCTTAAACTGAAATAATAGAATATAAATATTTCAGGCTGTGTTTGTTATGATGTTGAGAGTTTATTACGTACATCTATGCATCTTCTTTAATCAAAGTCATAGAATTATTTGATACAAATGGATTGTAAAGTGACTTGATGAAATGACGTTTTACACATACAGGTACACGTACAGTTTGTTTAACAGAACACAATGTTAGTTACGGGTACTTGTAAAACACTTCTAGGTTTACACGTACACATAGACGCACACGGTCAAATGCTTAACCTCTCTATTATTTAAAAATACAACTATCAGTTATACGGGTTGTGTGGATGTGTGAAAACAAATTATTTGTCTTTGTTCTTTCATGCGTAGAGTCCAGCAAGGGTCTAGGCGATAACAAATTATTGATTATGCAAGGTGAAGCAAGACTAAGTGCCCTAATTAAGAGATTATTAAGTGCTCTGCCTTAAAAATTGAAAGACAGTAGTTTCAGTTATGTTCTGATTTTCTGATTATCACAGATCATACTGTGTCACAAAAATTTTTACAGTGTCGCATGCATAAAATCTGAATCTTTACCATGTCGGAGAAAATTTTACTGTGTCAGGGCTGACACAGTAAAACAGCTCATGGAGAACCCTGTATAGTATTCATAAATATTTTCTTTAACATTTATTTGTTACTTGCAGTACAAGAGAGAGAAAATTTACATGGTATCAAAAATGAAGAAATGAAGAAACCTATACCAAAAGGAGGCTTTGATGAAAAGTGAGTTTTTATAATATATTTTCAATTTCAACAAACTGATTAATAACTTCAGCAGTGGTCTATCACTGTAAATGGGAGTATTTACAATCTATTACATAAAATTCATAAATTAGTAGTAAACATGATATGCTTGGGGGGTGGGGGGGATGGGAGGGGGGGCTGCAGCAATACAGCAAAATCTATCAGAATAATTTACTGTTGATACTGAAAAATGAATGTAAAAGGTGTTGATATGTGGGAGGATATTTACACAATTTTTTTTCTAGGGTATTAAAGGTATAATTACCCCCAAGTGTAAATTTCCACATTTACAGTAATTGTATTAAAACGGTTTATCATTCATCTTGTTTTTAATAGTTGACAAGTTTTTTAGCTCACCTCAACGAAGTTGGGGGAGCTTGTGTAATACCCTCGGTGTCAACAGTATTTGGAGCAGTTTTCTTTTCAAGTACTTCTATGCCCTATATTAATCAGAGATGCATGGAGGATGCTTGTATTGTGTTTCATTGTACCAGTCAAGGTTTCAGATGCTGCAATTTTAGGTAAAGAATGACCAGATTAATGTTTTTGGAGCAGGTTAAAGTTTTTGGAGCAGATCTCACTTCCAAGTTACTAGAAGCCCTATATTGACCAAACTTGCATGGATGATACATCTAAGGATGTACACTACTGGGCTTGCTTTGGATGCTGGATCTGACCTAATATTCCAGAGGAATGACCAGGTTAAAGTTTTTGGAGCAGATCTCATTTCCAAGTAACTAGAAGGCCTATCTGAACCAAACTTGCATGGATGATGAATCAAGGGATGAACACTCTTAAACTTTGCTTCAGATGCTGGATTTGACTTACATTTTCTGGATGCAAGATTTTTGCAAAGTTATATGCTGAGGTCACAATAGCTGTATTAGCTTCCAGGGCTCATACTGATTATTTGTTTGTTTATTGTTGTTTAACATCCCTCTTGAGAATTTTTCACTCATATGGAGATGCCACCACTTGCCGGTGGAGAGCTGCAAATTTTAACCTACACTCGGCACTCAGGGCCACAGAGCAGTGAGGGATCTTTTTTGTCCCAGCACCTACTGCGACACAGGACCTCGGTTTTTGTTGTCTCATCCGAAGGACCGGTCTCCACGTCCCACAGTGGGATTCAAACCCGCGACGTAAGGATCAACTCCTTACTCCGCGACTCTAGAGCAAATGCTCTAACCACTGGGCCATGTGGGCTCATACTGATCCTGCAGGTCTGATATGGATCTGCAGGGCTGATACAGATTTATATCACACCCCTAGTAGATTAAACCTTTAAAAAAATATTTGTGATAATACACCTATTTTTATTTTGTTCACATTCTCCTAATTTTAAATGACTGTTCTTTGATATAATAAGCTACATGTAATTGTCAGTGCATGGTAATTTATTTGTATTTTTCTCAAGTTGATGTGTGCTGTATTTTATAGTATGTAATAAAGATAATAAAACAATAACATTTTCCACACCATAACCTGTATCAGCCCTTGAGAAATATCAGCCCTTGGGCCTTTGGCCCTCAGGCTGATGGTGGTGTCTCAGGCTGATAAAGGATGTGATATGGAAAAGGGGATGTTTTATTCTCTATATATTGAGCTGATTTTAATATACAAGTCCACCTTGATAATATCGATTCTGTACCACTTTATCTTTGTTGGAATTACAAACTTTCTAGGGAACCAGATTACTGTATAGGGGGAAAATAACTCGTGGTGTTAATATTCGCTATATTCACGGTATTAATAAATCCGTGAAATCAAGAAACAGTGGATAACTAAGTTTTCAATGACCTCCATTTTTTTTTAAATTTGAGAATATACTACTATAGGTATATATATGTACATGCAGCACATGGCCATTCAGTAATTACGAATAGCAATTATCAATTAATTATTTCAATTATCATGCTTTACTTTAATTCAAATCAGCAGATAATAACCTGTAATCATTGTAAAAAAGCTGTTTTACTAGCCAACGCTAAATGTTTCATCAATCAGAACACATGGGTCATGGGTTTTGATAACCCCTGCGTAACTAACGTTACTAAGTGTATTTATTACGTGCATTATCATGCATATTACTTTTTATCAACATTTTGGCTTTAAAAATATTATTCAAATAACTATCGAAGGTATGGAAGGATATTATTTCGTCGACCTACTTTAACACATTTATTATCGTCCAGTTGTTTTTCGCTCTGATGTGATATCCCTTCGGAAATAAGATCTTGGGATGTACATGCACTCATCGTAATAGAATATAGGAAAGTCATTAAATATATCGGCACTTTGTTTAATCTTCAATTAATTACTAAATAAAATCTAAACATTTTAAATAAACCTGCCCTGTTATTGTTCGTGAAGTGAATACATAACGCTTATTAATGTCGTTCTAGCTATGATATGGATTAAACAGATAAAGACAAGGTAATTTTTATTACTGAGTATATACCAATATCGCGAATTCAACCAACTGCGATCATGTCAGAGGAGAGGAAAATGCAAAAATTACAACCCGTGAAATTAATCCTCTATACAGTATACTTGCATGTATCAGTTAGGGATTAGTATTGCATATGTGATGCTCTCATATTACTTGTTCACCTTTTAGTGGCTTGGACAGACAAAACATATACTAAATTTTGGTTAGCTTGCTAGATAAGTCTTTCATTGATATTATTTTGAGAACTCATCAACACAAGTCATTTGGACTGATTGTAAGAGAGATCCCCCAGACATTCAAATTTTCTACTGGTTTGACTGACATATTAGGAAAACTATATTCCGTTGGTTGCAAAATGAAGTTTTTTATTTAATGTGCATATGTATATATAAGTCAATAACTTTCATATATTTTAGCTCACCTGAACCAAATGTTCAATTGAGCATTTCTAATCACCTGATTTCAAGCTAATTTGTTTGTTCGTCTGTTAACTGTTCACATTTCTGGCTTCTCCAGAGCCACCAGACCAATTTCAACTAACATTTCTACAATGCATCCTTGGGTAAAGGGAGTTAAAATTTTTTTCAAATGAAAGGTCATGCCCTATTAAAATAGGGTACAGTTAAGAAAATCCAAAAACAGCATGGGTTTATGAAATTATCTTCATTTCTAGGAACAAGGACCAGAAAAGACGAAACTTGAACATGAAATTTAAAACATCCTGACATAGAGTAGATTCTAGATTATTCAGATCTTGGCCCTCGAGGGAAGGGTGGGTCCATGATAGGAAGTAAAAGTTATACATAGGAATATATAGAAGAAATCAGGGCCATGATTAGTGATATTATCTTGAGCATCCTCAGGTAGTGTAGATACAAGCATGTTCAAATACTGTTCTTTTGGGGGGGGGGGGGGCATAATAGATCAAAATTTTTCAAAATAAATAGGAAAAATCTTTGAAATCGAAGTGTAATGTACATTGATGAATATCTAATATTTGTAAACAAGACTTTAACATTAGGTTTCAATTTCACAATTATTTATTTCAATTCAGCCATATAAAGTAAAAAATTTCAAGTGCTGCACAACTGAAAATCAAAGCACAAAATCCTGCTCTGCTACTCTAAGTTGAATTTTTAGTGAGTATCAAAGAATGAGTGGACTTAAAAATCCTCAAAAGTTTAGGTTGAAGTTTAATAAGTTATTTACATATTTCCATAATACAAATCACAAATACAAAATGTATTTTAACTGTGTGTTCTCATTACATGTATGAATATGAATATAAGAAATTCTTTTCAAGGAAAACCAACAAAAAATCTAAGACAAGGAACCCAAATTTTTTAAGCTCACCTGAGCCGAAAGCTCAAATCACATTTTGTCTGCAGTTCATTTGTCCATCTGGCTGTCTGTCTATCTGTCTGTAAACTTTTCACATTTTCGACTTCTTCTCCAGAACCACTGGTCCAATTTCAACAAGACTTGCCACAAAGGATCCTTGGATGAAGGAGATTCAAGTTTCTTCAGATGAAGAGCCACACCATCTTTTAAGAAGAGTTAATTAAGAATTAAAAGAAAATTTGGTTGCATCTTTAAAAAATCTTCTTCTCAAGAACCATTGGGCCAAAAAACTTTAAACTTATTTGAAACCTTCATTACATAGTGTACATTCAATTTTTTTTCAAATCATGACCCCCAGGGGTAGAATGGGGCCACAGTGGGTGATCAAAGTTTTACAGAAGAATATATAGGAAAAAATCTTGAAAAATCTTCTTCATAAGTACAACAAAGCCATGATTAGTCATATTAATATGGAAGCATCTTCAGGTAGTGTAGATTCAAGTTTGTTTAAATCATGACCCCAAGGGTAGGGTTGGTCCACAATGGGAGATCAAAGTTTTACATAGAAATAAATAGGAAAAATCTGCTGATGAAGAAGAACAAGGCCATATTGGGTGCAGCCCACTAATTGTTTTCCCAAAGGCAGCAATGTTAACGTTTCTTCACATAGCAATGTCCCTAATTTTCGTTCAGCAGTGATTGACCCCTCAAATTAAAGCACATCAAGTTGTCTTTCCTTGGTTAAAATCTCGAGGTGGCATGTCAGATTCGTTTTCCGGCAAAATGCGTCTGTCTGCGTTAACCTCTGAAAATGAAAGTGAAAGTAGGGGAATTCCAGACTTCTCACTGGTGTTATAATACATAAAATAATTCTGCTGATCTTCTTGATAAATTACATCTGCCAAGCTTTTTTGCAAGGGAACATACTCCTTATCAACATGTATGAGACTCAGTTTAATACATTATCACAGTTTTTTTTATTCAGGTCTGCAAATTAAGGAACTTGTAATTTTTTCTGCACTACTTTCTTCCCCTACCGATTCTAAAAATAATTAGAGGTATGTACCCTATTGACTCAGGTGAGCATTGTGGACCATTGGCCTCTTGTTTTTAATATCAATAGATAATGAGGGTCACACTAATTTCTTCAATGTGTTGCTACACAGTCAGTGCATGCTTAATTGGT